GGAACCGCCTCTTAATTGCTGGTGTTCCCAGGTCCACCCTGACCCAGGGTGGTAGCACCTGTTAGGGTCCCAGCAAATAGTTAACCCCCAAACTGGGGTCAAAATACAATGAAATTGTAAAAATAAGTTTTAATACTGGCAAAAATTTTTTACCAGCAATGAATTTTTGTAGAAAAAATTATTACCAGGAATACATTTTTAAAAGAATTATTACCAGCAATACATTTTGGAAGAAAAAAATATTACCAGCATTACAGTTTTGAAAGAAAATATAAGCAATAAAAACCTTGTCGGCATTAAATAACCCATTGAGGTTGATATACCGTAAAACAAAACAAACCAAATCAAAATTTTTACTTTAGTTTATTTTTATTTATTTATTTATTTATTTATTTGCTTTTATCTTGAACTTTTTTTCATGTATAGATTTTATCCATATATAAAAATCATATAAAAGTTTTCGAAGTTAATGTTTTGGAAGAAAAAAAATGGAAAATGTAGTCTTCTAATTTATTTTGAAAATTAATGTCATTAATAATTTTGTACAAATAATGCAGCCCAGCTTAATAGCATTGTGATGGCAAGAAAACAAATTTAGTTTTAAGTTGCAGCAAAATGGTGGAACTGAAGCCTCCACCCAGCTCCCTATAGCGCCATGAATGATATACTGTTAATATCTAATTTTGACTTACGATCCCATGTTTCTTTGAGGAGAAAAAATGTGTTTCTTGAAGGTTTAGAGGTTCTGTCTACCATGAAAATCAGTATTCGAAATCCCAGCTTTTACCAGGATTTGAACATTGATCGCTAGCATCAGTAGTGAATATGTAAGTATAAACTATTTATTTATTTATATGTATGAAGTTGGATGACTTGCACATTTTTGCTGTTGTTTGTAGATCTTCAATCACACATCAAATGTGTGTAAATATATTATTGTCCTATTCTCTTCTTGTTTCTCTCTCTGTAAACATAGGTAGATAAATAGATATACATAGAGGTTGATATGAACAAAATTAGATAGCTAGATAGATGCGAAGATAGATAGATAGATAGATAGATAGATAGATAGATAGATATAAATTAAGATAGATAGATAGATAGATAGATATCGTCCGGTTATCGTTTTGTTCCCATCTATTTGAAACAATAGATGGGAACAAAAACGATAACCGGACTATTTCTGAATAGATAGATAGATGAAGACAGAATGAGATATCTATCTATCTATCTATCTATCTATCTATCTATCTATCTATCTTCACATTTAGCTAGTTATCTAGCTATCTGATTTTGTTCATATCAAAAATATCTATCTACTTTTTGTTCATATTTAATAGTTATATCTCATTATATTTCTTTCTTTATCTATTATTTATCTATCTATTTATTATCTATCTTCATTCTAGCTATCTAATTTGTTCATATCAACCTCTATGTATATCTATTTATCTACCTATGTTTACATTTAGCTAGTTAGCTATCTTTCTCACTTCATACTTATTTCTTTGTCTATCTTTCTATCTATATTCACAACTAGCTGTTTAATTTTATTCATATCAACCTCTTTGTGTATCTATCTATCCACCTATGTTTATATTTAGCTAGTTAGCTATCTCATTCACTTTATATTTATTTCTTCGTCTATCTATCTATCTATCTATCTATCTATCTATCTATTATCTATCTATCTATATATATATATATATATATATTTTATATATATATACAAATCTATTTTATTCTATCTATCATTCATCTATCTATTATATTCACATCTATCTAGCTATTTAATTTTGTTCATATATTTATATATATATTGTATTTTGTATTCTATCTATATATTTACATGAAGCTAGTTTGCTATCTCATTTAAAGAGAAATATTTGTTCCTTTGTCTATCTATTCATCTATCTATCTATCTATCTATCTATATATCTATATATATATATATATATATCTATATATATATCTATCTATCTTATCTTATTATCTATTCATATATCTATCTATCTATCTATCTATCTATCTATCTATCTATATTCACATCTAGCTAGCTATCTAATTTTATTCATATCAACCTTTATATATATATTGTATTTTGTATATCTATCTATGTTTACATGAAGCTAGTTTGCTATCTCATTCACTTCATATTTGTTCCTTTGTCTGTCTGTCTGTCTATCTGTCTGTCTATCTATCTATCTGTCTATCTATCTATCTATCTATCTATCTATCTATCTATCTATCTATCTATCTGTCTGTCTGTCTGTCTATCTATCTATCTGTCTGTCTATCTATCTATCTGTCTGTCTGTCTATCTATCTATCTATCTATCTATCTGTCTGTCTATCTATCTATCTATCTATCTATCTATATTCACATCTATCTAGCTATCATTTAGTTCTTATCTATATCTTTGTCTATCTGTCTATGCTTGTTATCTATTAATATCCTTGAAGGTGTATTTATCAATGATCAATCGAAATACCTCTACACCATGACGATCACTCTTTTCCACTTTCTTTCATCCTCTCTCTCTTTCTCTCTCTCTCTCTCTCTCTCTCTCTCTCTCTCTCTTTCTCTCTCTCTCTCTCTCTCTCTCTTTTATTCGTACATTTTCCTTCTTCTCTAGATTTCTTCTTTGTCTCACATTAAGTGATTGGTCAACTCTTCATTTCATGTTTTCTAAACAACCAAATACCGAAAATAAGTTCCCACATCTATCCACTCTCTCTCACTCTCTATCTCTTCCTCTCTCTCTTCCTCTCTCTCTCGTACACAGAGAGAGAGAGAGAGAGTCATAAACACGTACAAAGAGAAAGAGAGAGAAAGACTGAAACGCAACTGCTAACAATTCTCCTTTCTTCTTTACGCAGTTTTCTCTTGATATAAATTTACGATCTTCTTCACTTTGGGGCAGGATGTAAGTAGTAATTTCCGTTTTTACATAAAGAAAATATTTCAGTTTTACAATCTACATAAGTACAAATGAGTATGGGTAAACATCTGCATTCTTACAATTGAAAATTTACTGCAAACATTATTTTAGTTGATAACCACGTTGGAGTAGACGGCTTATTTTGTTTTTCTAAACATTGTGAATTGCGTCTACCGGACGACGTATTCCAGGGACCTTTCTTTGGAAGTAAAGTCTGATGATCCAGAGCCCTGTTAAAAGGGGTTGTGGTGAAATAACTTATTACATGGAACCTTAATTTGGTCTGTTTTATTCAAACAAAAATATATACATATATATATATATATATATATATATATATATATATATATATATATATATATATATATATATATATATGTGTGTGTGTGTGTGTGAAAGGACAAATTATGTCTCTCTCTTCGTCTCCCTGTCTTGCTCTCTCTTTTTTGTGCTTGCTTGTATGTGTAGGTGTGTGCTTAGGTTGATCTACCAATTTGCCTTTAAACACAAACTGAGTAGGCTATCATACATTTTTGTATTTAAACCTATGCGATGTCATCTTTAGATAAAGATTCAGAAAAAAAGCAAAAGATATATTGCCCGAAGTTGTGTGTGTGTGTGTGTGTGTGTGTGTGTGTGTGTGCACGCGCGTAAGTATGAGTGTGTGAGAGAGAGAGAGACAGAAGAAGAGAAAGAATATCCAAGACAGGGAGAGAGTATCTGAGAGAGGAGTGAAAGGGAGAGAGTACCAGAGAGAGATAGAGAGAGACAGAGAGGGAGGGAGAACGAATGAGTTATTAATTTCATATTGCAAAAAGTCCGAATTTTTCTTCCCACCTCCGTTAATGAAAATTCGCCAATTTCTAAAAGGTCATTTACCATTTTCGTTCCTTACAATTCCTGGCTCGCTGTTATGAAATGAAATATAATTAGAAGTTCTTATTTACTCTGAGCTTACTTTGACAAAAGGCCACGATTATAGGGTACCCTACTCACTACACTTTAATAATGGTCAACTAGTCCATCCCCACCCCGCAGCGCCCCAAATTATTTAATAAGCAAAGCTTAGTTTTAGCACAATACTACAAGTATGTGGTACCCTGTGAGGATCGAAGTTAAGCACAGTGATGAGGGGGGTACATATGTAATTAGGTTTTGGCAACAAAGAATTCACAGATGTCCGCTTTATTGTAAATTCAGTCCTATAAGGAACGTCTGGATTTTGTCTTCCTCGTAGATACGAGATTCTTCTAGTTATTCTCTCTCTCTCTCTTTCTCTCTCTCTCTCTTTCTCTCTCTCTCTCTCTTTCTCTCTCTCTCTCTCTCTCTATATATATATATATATATATATATATATATATATATATATATATATATATGTGTGTGTGTGTGTAATTAAAGAAAAACAATGGACAACTTGCCAAAACTTAAAACTCTTATCCAGATACAGTCCCAAATAAACCCGACAGTACGAGAAAAAAGGCCTTAAATCCAACTTAGCTATTCAGTAAAGTGCTCGAAGCCCAGATTGCCTAGACCGAGCAAAAAATACTTACCAATGTTAAATCCTATGAAAGGATAGCTCTAGTCGAATCTCGTGTATTACGCTCACGGGATCTTCAGAAATAAGTTGAATTGAAAATTTCATCGTTAACATGACCCGAGTTTCAACCTTACGGTATCATCAGAGATATCACCTTTTTGGTGATCATCACATATTTTTAGCTTGTTTGATTGCCTGATTTGTTTTTTTACGGCTTATCAACCCTTTTTGGTTTATTTAAAGCCGAAACCTATTTTGGATTGTAAGATGAATTCTTTTTTATGTGCGTTAATCTTGCATCTATCTATCTATCTTCAGATTTAGCTAGTTATCTAGCTATCTCATTTTGTTCATATCAAACTCATTGTTTCCATTTAGCTAGTTAGATATCTCATTCACTTCATATTTATTTCTTTATCTATCTATCTATCTTCACTTCTATCTAGCTATCTAATTTTGTTCATATCAACCTCTATGTATATCTATTTATCTACCTATGTTTACATATTTATCTACCTATGTTTACTGCAGGGAGAAAAAATATATGGATACCTTTTTCCAAGGTTCTTTGCGTGTACGTATTTTATCCGAAGTCTAACTGTAAATCTCGTACTAAATAGTAACAGTAAAAAGCTCCAATTTTGTTTGTATTCTGCTGATAAATGATATTTTATATTATTTTATAGAGTGTTCGAAATTATTGACAAAGAGAGGATCGAAAAAATAACATTAAATTCTTGAAATGACAAATGAAAACCATAAAAGACGAAAAAAAGTCGATAGGAGACAAAAAAATTAAAATAATATAATAAATCAATTAGAGCCTCGGCTGCTTCTCACGTACAGCTGGTTTAGCACGTTAATCTAGTGACGTAATGAAATCTTAAAGTAGGTATTCAACAGTGTGAAATAGGCATCCATATTATAGACCGGAAGCAATTCTGAGAGAATTGGAAATTCTTCCAGGATTCAGTATTGGCGGCCACAATCTTAACAACATATTAAACGCAGATGACACAGTACTGATAGCAGACACGGAAAAGAAATTACAAAACCTCCTACATAAGGTAAGCGAAGGAGAGAGAGAAGAAGGGACTAAGAATAAACTACAAAAAGACAGAATGCATGGTCATCAGCAAAAAGATGAGCCCGAAATACGATTTACAAGTCGGGGACACTAAAATAAAGCAGGTGCGGAAATTTAAATATCTGGGAAGTGTTTTGACAGAAGACGGTAAGTGCGACACTGAGATCCGAAGACATATCGGGATGGCCAAAGACGCATTCCAAAAGCTACGCAGAGTATTACAAGACAGAAGGATTTCGTTGGTAACAAAGAAAAGAGTACTGAACTGCTACGTGATATCTGTCCTCCTTTACGGTAACGAATGTTGGACGGTCTCCTCAAAGATGAAGAAGAGACTCAAGGCAACGGAGGTATTGTTCTACAGAAGGATGCTTAGGATATCATGGACTGAGCGTGTTAACAACGATGAGGTTTTGGAGTGGATGCAAGGAAGCTTATACTTAACATCAGGAAGAGGCAGCTGAAATTTCTGGGACACGTAATGAGAAAGGAGTGCTTGGAGAATCTGATACTCACTTGTCGTATAGAGCGAAAGGGAGACAAGAGAAAGCAACGCATTACATGCCTAACGGGTTTAAGCAAGTAAATGACAGAACATGGCCCGGGGGAAGTACCAGTGGACAAAACTTATTGAAAGCTACAATAGGAGGAAGTGGAGAGCCATGATCACCTACGTCCTGAAGGGACACGGCACATAAATAGAAAGAAAGAAGCAAAATTTGTAAAAAAAAAAGACAAAAAAGAGAAAAACTAGTAACAGTTTCTGGGATTGTCTAAGCTACTGGTATCACGCAAAATGTAACAGAAAGGGAAGACGTGGAGGGTGGCTGACTATCATAATATCTTATGACATTTAGCACTGACGAAAAACGCGCACCGCCAAAGTAGTTCCCCATTGGGTTGAATTTGTTGTTCCCATCAGAATTGTTCGAAAAATATCAACACACTTAGGAGGAAACATTTCTCGCCAAAGTGAGAGAAAATAAACTAAAAGAAATCGCTAAGTTATCTTCCATATTTGCATTCTCTCGCTCCCTTTTATTTTCTCTTTTTCTTACTATTTTTAATTTGCATCTATCTATCTATCTATCTATCTATCTATCTATCTATCTATCTATCTATCTATCTATTTTCAAATCCAACACGTTCTTTTCATATCTATCTATCTATCTATCTATCTATCTATCTATCTATCTATCTATCTATTTTCAAATCCAACACGTTCTTTTCATATCTATCTATCTATCTATCTATCTATCTATCTATCTATCTATCTATCTATTTTCAAATCCAACACGTTCTTTTCATATCTATCTATCTATCTATCTATCTATCTATCTATCTATCTATCTATCTATCTATTTTCAAATCCAACACGTTCTTTTCATATCTATCTATCTATCTATTTTCAAATCCAACACGTTCTTTTCATATCTATCTATCTATCTATCTATCTATCTATCTATCTATCTATCTATCTATCTATCTCATTTTAGTCAGAATCTATCGCAGTCTGTTCATATCTATCTATCTATCTATCTATCTATCTATCTATCTATCTATCTATCTATCTATCTATCTCATTTTAGTCAGAATCTATCGCAGTCTGTTCATATCTATCTATCTATCTCATTCTGCTGATATCTTTATTGCATTATCTATCTATCTATTTTCAAATCCAACACGTTCTTTTCATATCTTTCTATCTATCTATCAATCTATCTATCTATCTCAGTTATTTGCCTTCTTTCCTCTCTTTCATTCTACTCTGTCACTTTGTCTCTCACAAATAACAGGTGCCTTAGGCTTGGATGTGCGGGTGGTGTAAATAGATAAAGGCTCGGAATTAGAAATCGGAGAGCCGAGTTCCAATTCCAGTCAGGGTCGTTATATTCCCTTACGCGCAAATACCCTTGCGAAGGGTATAAATCCACAGATTCTTCTTAGCTATGGGTTAATTAGTAGAAATTGTATCAGTAAAACATTATTAGCTCCCAAAGAATTCTTATAATCCACAATTATTTTCTGGCTTTAAATAACCTGAAAATGTTGATAAGTCGTAAAAAACAAATTAATGAATCTGCTCTCACTGTGTTAATTTTCTTCTTTTTTTTCTTTTTCATGTGTTAATCGGGCGCGGGTGAATGTTTAAATCCTTTTTGTTTTTCATTACTATACGAAATAACAAATAACCGGCCTAACTTGTCTTAAATACGTTTTCAATTCCACTCTCTCTCTCTCTCTCTCTCTCTCTCTCTCTCTCTCTCTCTCACCCACGTACAAACATTCTACATCTCAACATTTTATTACATCACTGAACCTATCAGACTCTTTCCCCCTCTTCACACTTTGCTTATATATATATATATATATATATATATATATATATATATATATATATATATGCGTGTGTCTGTGTGTGTGTATGTGTGTCAATATATATATATATATATATATATATATATATATTTCCTTTTATCTTTTGGTAATATATATCTCTCTTCTGTTGGCTGCGGTAGTGAGATATTTCATGCGTTTGCCTTGTCAACGGTATTTTTCTTTTCTTTTCCTTGATTTTATATCCTTAAAGAGATTCATTAAGAAAAAGACAATATATTTGTCCACACACAAAATAACCAGCATGTACGAGTAGGAAAAAGAAATACAACCCAGCAAAAATTACAAAAAATAAAAATAAAAAATAAATAAAAAACGTAAACAAATAGAAAAAGAATGCGAAAAAAAAAATTTGCGATTAAACCAGAGAAAAAGAAAAGTTGGTAAACGAATTTGCAGTGCAAAAATTCCTTTTGCGGTAAAAAATAAACAATTTCTCAAATAGCAAACGAAATGGAAATTCATTTTATTTGCCACTTTTGAGAGAAGAATTTTCTCTGAGGAACCACCCGTTGATTATGGACGTTTGGTGAGTGATGAGAAAAGACTCGAGTAAGGGGTGAAGGTGGAGATGAAATGCTTTGTAAAACACATCAAAAAGATATTTTGTATTAAAATGTCATGCAAGAATAAATTTTGAAATTGGGAAAAAAAACGGAATTAATATGTCAAGAACACAAGATGAAAAAAAAATTGCAACCTTTATTTAATGTAATAATTTCTCATCAAGTGATCTCAACAAAGGTTCGTGCAGTTTTCAAAACACTCGTGTGTAATCAGCTGAAGAAAAAGGGGGCTAAACACTTCGAATATTTACAATCCATAAGCATTTTCAGCAACGTTAAATGTACAAAAATTATTTACTACCAAATTTTATAATTACACGTAATATCCATCAAAATTTCCCTTTTTTTCTATTTTAATTTTCTGAAGAATCTTAATTCTTAGTGAAGGATTCAATAAGCACTTTGCAACTTTCACTCGTGAGCAATCATTTGTTGCATCGTTAAATAATTGAGGTTAAGAACTTTAGCAAAATATTGCAATAATAATCATAAATAAGAATGTAGTTTATTATTTAAAGAAGTAAGAGGATACAAATGAAAAGATTCAAAATTGACAAGGCTTTCAATTTCACTGAAGCAGGCGTTAAACACGTGAGAACATTATCGATTCGTCTATCTTCTCTTAATTTTTACATTAAGATATAACGCATACAATAGAACTACACGTTTGCACCTTTATCGAATCTGAAAAAAAAAGTAAACAGACTGAATAAAAAGAAAGCGTATGAACTTGTTTGTTGCCTACGACTGTCTAAATGTATATATTCATTATTTCATGACCTGTTAAAGCATCGGTTTATTGGAATAAGTTTAAATTTAGCAGGAAATATACTGCCAAAATATGCCTTGAATATTCACTCTAAAGACATCATGATTGTTACTTATTCGTAAATCCAAAAACTTCATCCCAAGATTTGAAGATTATCGTGAAACGCGTAAGCTAATTTTAAGTTAGACTTTTGAGAAAAAAAATGAGTCTCTTATATGCCACACAATACACACAGTGATCACCTAAGCGTTGCTTAGATGTGGGACAAGGACGAAAGTATGGGGTACCTAGTGAGGATCGAACTCACTTTTCAGTCGTAACTAATCTAGTGAAACAAGTTCGCTAACCATTACACCATGCCGAGAAGTCCGAGGTAGAATATATTTACATAGTTAAACTGCAGTAATGGTCACGTGGCCGATTACTGATAACATTCGCTTTCTGACTATGAGACGCGGATTCGAAGATGACTTCGTGATGTTATCGGATGGAGGTGGCGATCCCAACTTTGGAAAGTGCCTGAAAGTTGAACTATCCTCACATTGACACCAATATACTCTAATACTTCCGGTCCGAATGTCAAGCAGTACAGAATGGCGTTTCTAAATTTCTGGTGCAGTGAATTGCGTCATGGCGCTCTTTTTCTCACCGGCGGTAACCAAACGACCCTACTATACCATGCAGTCTATAAATTCAAAAACAAACAAGGCGCATGCGCGTAATAACAAATATACCATGGCGACAATTTACCCATCGCTTCCAGAGTAAGTTTGTGTGTGTGTGTGTATATATATATATATATATATATATATATAATGAAATATTTCTATTTGTCAAATTTCTTTATATATATATATATATATATATATAAAGAAATTTGAGAAATGGAAACATTTTATTGAAACTAAATTTGATTACGCGTTTCGCCTTTCAAAGGCTTCATCAGATCCAAAAATAAAAAAATACATATATATATATATATATATGTGTGTGTGTGTGTGTATTTTTTTTTATATATGTATATACATTAACCATACATGTAGATAATTTATTAATTTACAGTTGCGTACATACTTCATTTTACGTTATATTAATATAGATTAACTAGCTGCTAAAAGGGAAAACCGCTGTTGTCCGCGGAATATATCTTAAAATATAATAATACAAGAAAGATTTTCTTTAATTTTGCACAACAAATTAGGTGATGACACAATTTCTGCATAAAAAAGTAAGTTACTAAGAAAACAAAAAGAAAACTGATGTTCTGGGTGTCCCAGATTGTTCTTCTCTCACAGGAAAAAGTTGTTTGAAAATCCAATATTGGAATAATGAACATAGAGCTAGTCATGGAAATTCATGAAGACAGACTTTCTGATGATCAGGGCAAAATTGCACCTTCGATACGAAGACGCTGGAATTCGAACTGTAATGTTAATGCTAATGGTAATATAAGCGTTTCCTTATAAAGAAATATTGCGCATTCATTGACCGAGTAGATGTATTGATGGGTGTTTCCTTCCTAACCTTTTATTTGAAGTCGTGTGGAATGTCAACATCTTGATTATATCATTATTTTTTCTTCTCAAGCCCAGCAGATTTTATCGCTCTTTCCATTATTGATGGGTGTTTCCATCCTAACCTTTTATTTGAAGTCGTGTGGAATGTCAACATCATGATTATGTTATTATTTTCTCTTCTCAAGCCCAGTAACTGTTACCACTCTTTCCATTATTGATCGGAGTTTCCTTCCTAACCTTTTGTTTGAAATAGTGTGGAATGTCAACATCTTAATTATGTCATTATTTCCTCTTCGAGTTGCATGTGGGATTCATTTTAGCTGCTGTTGAAAGTCCTCAAGTGATGTGGTTTCTGTTATCTGGTAAAGTTCTTTGTTTGTGATTCTGTAGCGCCAGTCTATAAGGTTCGCTCAAATCCACTGTTAATCATTGATCATAGAAAGCGGTTTTATAAAACTGACAGTAATTCAGTTGTAATTATGCTGATCCTGGGAATAAAAACATAATTTTTGTTGTTGTTCAAACCAGTTAGGATAGTTGCTCTCTGATGATATGTAAAAAAAAACAGCTTGACATTTATGCAAATTACACTTTTCAACTTTGGAGGATCGCGAGTTCTAAGAAATGTGATGAATACCCCAACATTCTCTTGGAACCTATAAGCGGGATTCCTGGAATATAAAGCAGCTCGAAAGAGTTGTGGAATTCAATTATGTTCGAAAGAGCTTCAGAATTGTTTGGAACTTTGTTAATTAACATGTATAACTAAACATACCCAGTAATGTTTTGCAGAAGTTTCGAGTTTATATCTTCTATTGCATCTTTGGAGCAATAATGCTTCTCTCACAGACCCACAGGTAGTTTCTATATTTTTCAGTCTTGTGAAATTTCACAATCCCACGGAATTTTTACTCTTTTATACTATCTGACAGATTCTCGTTCGTATTTTTAGTGTTTGCATAAAATCGTCATTTGCATAACTGTCACAATCATATGTGTCTTCTTCTTCTTCGTTTTCTTCTTCTTCTTTTTCTTCTTCTTCAAGTAGTATGTTTTCGCAGGACCAAATTCCAGTCATTTGCATAATTCCCAATTTGCCACAATTCCTAGACAGTTAAATCTCTTCTTATTCCTTTTTTTTAATTGTTCATATTTCAAGCAGCTGAAAAAAATGAAGTTTTATCCTAAAAATTTGAATTTTGTACAACGTTTTACAAGCAAAACAAAGAACAAAATCCAATATTCTTAGTTAAATCTTTTGGCAAAAAAAATCTATTTTAATTCTAATTTGGAATCTTGGAAATTAGCTTCACCTATCATATTAACTGTTACCCCCCACATACCAAACTATCAAGAACTCAATTGTTTCGCTGCAACACAACTCATAAAAAAACACAAAATTCTTCCACTTTGTACAGTTGGTGGGCTCGAATGCTAAATTGGATCTTATTCATTCTATCATTTGTAAGGTTGAAATATTAGAGGGTAAAGTGTGTGAAAAGCAAAGAAAAGAAATAATCT